CCCCCCCTACTCCCTTTTACCCGATCCCTTTTCGCTATCTCATTCCCTTTGCGTATAACGCTTTCTCTCCCCTCTCATGCTCACATTACCTCCTTCGTAAACCTGGCGGCTTGATTTCGCCCCCCACTCTCCCCACATTGCTTTTTTGTCCGTGAGCTCCCTTCTGAGAGAGAGAGAGAGAGAGAGAGAGAGAGAGAGAGAGAGAGAGAGAGAGAGAGAAAAGAGGGAGGGAGACTAGGAGAGAGAGAAAAAAAAGAGAGAAAGAGAGAGAAAGGGGAATAAAGAGATAGAGCGAGCGAAAGAGATAGAATAAGAGAGAAAGATTGATTCAGAGGGAAAGGGGAGAGCAATTTAGAGAAAGAGAGAGAGAGAGAAAGAGATAGATAGATAGATAGAGAGATAGAGAGAGAAAGAGAGAGAGAGAGAGAGAGAGAGAGAGAGAGAGAGAGAGAGAGAGAGAGAGAGAGAAGGGGGGCGGAAGAGATATTTAAGCGAGAGACACATTCGTATAATCATGCATACACGAAGAAGAGAAGAACAGATTTGAACACGAGGATATTATGAAGAGGGCAAGAAAGAGAAAAAGAGAAACAAAAAGTGAAAGAGATAACAAATGAGATAGACAGATAGATAGATAGATAGATAGATAGATAGATAGATAGATAGATAGATAGATAGATTGGTAGATAGATAGATAGATAGATAGATAAATTAAAATAATAAAGGTAAACACATAGGTAGAAAGAGCAATATAATAATTGATATTATAATAATATATAAATCGCTACCTCAGAATTACAAAGGTCTATCTGCACAGTACCTAGTTTTGTGAAAAATCGAAGTTGAAAATCATGAGTTTCCCGACATGGACCAGATTTTCCTAATAGACCAATTTTCTCAATTATTTATGTTACACACACACACACACACACACACACACACACACACACACACACACACACACACACACACACACACACACACACACACATACACACACACATACATGGCGCTCACATGAGCCTATGTAGTTGTGACTGCCCTAAAACCTTAATTAAAAAAACACACCTACAAACACAGAAACTCATTGACGTAAAATAATAATGATGAGAAGAAGAAGAAGAAGAAGAAGAAGAAGAAGAAGAAGAAGAAGAAGAAGAAGAAGAAGAAGAAGAAGAAGAAGAAGAAGAAGAAGAGGAAGAGGAAGAGAAAGAAGAAGAAGAAGAAGAAGAAGAAGAAGAAGAAGAAGAAGAAGAAGAAGAAGAAGAAGAAGAAGAAGAAGAAGAAGAAGAAGAAGAAGAAGAAGAAAAAGAAGAAGAAGAAAAAGATGAAGAAGAAGGAGGAGGAGGAGGAATTAGAGGAGGAGGAGGGGGAGAACAAGTAGGTTTTTAAAGTAGATTTCTCCTGCAGTGGATTTAGCGCGCACGCCGAACTGCGCCGATGGATATTTTGTGTTCGTGTGTATATCTATGTTTATATCTAATATCTTATCTGGATCAAGATAAAAATAATGAAAGTGAAAGTATTGAAAGTAGATTTCTCCTCAAGTAGATTTAGTTCGTACGCCGAAGGATGAGTGTATTTTGTGCACAGTGTCTAGATGAGATCTAGATCTAAACCGAGATCAAGAAGAGTCATGAAATGAAAGTAGAATCTAGATCTGTGATATTTCAATTACCTATTGAATATTGAAAGTGGATTTTTCTTGCTGTGCATTATAGATTCTAAGATCAGATCTAGGCTAGATCTATAAATTATGTGAATCTTAAATCGACATCAAGAATGATGAAAGTATTGAACGTTGATTTTTTTCCTGTTGTGAATAGATCTAGAGTCTAGAACTAGGCTGTCGGTGAATCTAGATCTATATCGAGATCGAGATCAAGAATCATGAAAGTATTCTTGAAAGTGGATTTTTCCTGCTGTGAATAGATCTAGAAATCTAGGCACTCTGTGACGCCTGTCGGTTGTTAAAAATGTGAATTTCTTAACATAGATCTATCTATGGGCCTAGGCTCCTTTTTCCAATTATTGGCCTATGTCTTTGTAATCCTTCGAGATCTAGGCTAGATCTAGAATCCAGATTATGTTCTTCTAGGAAATAATAATTGGCATGTAGGCCTAACTCTTTTTTTTAAAAAGTGATTGAGCTGGAACTTTGGGAGATAATGCCACGCCTTCGAAGAGGTTGAAGAAGTCTTACCCCTAGAGGTAGTCAAGAGGGAGCGCTACATGGATAAATTCAAGGTAAGATA